GAGCACCGTACTTTGTTGGCTGTAAGGACTTGGGGGCACCATTTATTCTTGGACCCCTATAGCAGGTGGCTAGGTGGCGTGGGTTGAGCCACCAGTCCTCCAGCCCCTGATGCGGACAGGTAAGGTGCCTGCTTAAAGGGCAGAGCAGTGTCAAATGTCACAAACGTGCCACTTCACAGCTGAAACAGTTGAAGTTAGACTTCAGGTATTTACCCTGTTGTACTGTGGTAGTGAGGGCTTATGCTGTTGAGATGGGCCCACACAAGTCTATGCAGGGGTGGAAGGCACTCAAAGTCTGCGGACCCCTTATGCCTGTGCCTAGGCAAAGGAGTTGTGCCTGCCCTGAGGTCCTGGATTAGGGGAGCCAGTAGCTTATTTTTTCCCTGTTTGTTAATTTGTTCCCTCTCCAAGGCCAGGAGAATGGGTCAGGTCACCTTATGGGATCTTCTTCTGGCCCAGGGGACTCACAGATCACTGAAGCCGGCTGGGACCCGGTACAGAGCAGGGAGGGAGGAGGTAAACGGGAGAGAGGTTTTCCCCAAATGGGTTTTTTTTTTTTTTTTAAATCCCCATGGTAGAGCACAGGCAAGTACTTATCTTTAGCCACTTGAGTGCTGCTTTTCACTGGTTCAGAGTGCCGAAGTAGACTCCATTGCCGGATCTCTCTCGGTGTGGAAGTGCCTCCTGAGCGAGCGAGTGCGCGCAGCTGTTTGCCAGCCTCACTGCGCACCCTGAGCTGATCTGGGCTGAGGGGTTGCGGCTCCCGCCTGGTCAGGTCAGGCAACTCCTCGCTGCTTCCGAACTGTCTCTCTCTTCCCCGTCACTCAATCTGATTCCTCAACTTTGCCTTGTTCAGGGCTTCTAGATATTCATATACAATCAATTCACTTGTTTTTTCAGATCTTTGTTGTAAGAGAGACATAGGAAGCCATCTGAGTACTCTGCCGTCTTGACCCCCCAAAAAGTTTGAGTTTTCATGTGTGGAGAGTACTTTAAAAAGTCTCTATAGGTCACTTTCTAACAGAGTAGAGACTGTCTAGGATAGATCTTTCATACAGTTCCAGCGATTCTTCTGGGAAGAGGAAAAATTCTTCAGGGTTTTCATAAATTAGGTTGTAATTACTGCTTTATAAAAACCCAAGAGGGGGCCAGTATTCATTGTTTTAGAGATCTCCAAGTTACCAAAGACAAAGAGGAAATTGAAAGTAGTCAGGATTCTAGCTTTCACTCACTTTTTCTTCTCTGTTTCTATCTTTTTTTTTTCTCCTCCATACCTCTTCCTAGCCTCCAAACTCACATTTTCTGAAGTCCATCTCACCAAAGTCCTGGGAGGAGGTATTATATAGTGATGAGAATAACTTGTTATCAAATCTTGGTTTTGCCACTTACCTCTAGTCAAAGAAATCATTAGGAAAAAAAAATCATACCACATGTACTTATTGATTACAAAATGGTTTAAGAAGCAATAAAATATGGGATATTAGCTATACAGCTTCAGAAGTATTATGTAACCTCTCTTACTTGGTCTTCTCATCTGTAAATTAGAGGTTGCAAAACCTCCCTCACAAAGTGGTTGCAAGGACAGTAGAGAGTAAGACTGACTATATGTAAGAGTCCTTTGCTTAGATCTGATTACAGCAATAACTCTAAGGTGTGGATGATCAATATATGGGTTTGAATTACCCCCATCAAAGATGTTGTGATGAGAATTTTGTAGATGAGATATTTGTCAGCTGGTGGAGGAGTGAGGGGAGTTCTGATGCTCCCTACCTATCAAAGCTTTCTCAACCCAGGGGATCTGGGGAAAGCTAGACTTCCATCAGCAGAATTTAGGCCTCACTTCTTATCCAGACAGCCCTCTTCACCTTTAGGAGGGACCTTGCATTATTTAGGGCTTTAAGAATAAGGATTTAACCGGAATTGCCCCAGGTATCATAGCCTTGAATACAAAGGGGATCATATTAACAGTATTAACCCAAATATCACTAGCAAGTGCTGCTACCTCAAAAGCATGTCCTCAGCCCCCTTGATGAGTCGCAGTGGGAATTCCAGTTCCCTGCTTGTTGATATTTAACAACATGGAGCCACTCAGGGACTTGTCACTGTTGCCATTGCCAGGATCCTCCATGAGAAAGCTGAGGAAGCTGTCTCCAGAAGCTTCTAAGCAGTGCCAGAGTAGCCCTCACCTCAGCAGAGCCACTCAGAGTTTGTATTGTAGTTTATCACCTTGCGATAAAGGGGGGAAAGGCAGCTTGTGTTCCCATGCCTCACAGTGTCCCTTAAGAGAACAGTTCCTGCAATTTCTGCAGCAGACACTGTTTCCATAGGGCTTAGCTGTGAACCAGGCCAGGAAACAGATTCCATGCCATCCTACTTATTCCCTATCTGCTCTCCTCTCCCCTCTTTTCTCACGTCCAAACCGGAAAATTCTGCTCTGTGAAAGACACTGTTATGAAACTGGAAAGACAAGCCACAGACTGGGAGAAAATACTTAAAAAATACATATCTGATAAAGGACTTGTATTCCAAACATGCAAAGAAATCTTAAAGCTCAACAGTAAGTGTCATGGATTGAATTATGTTCCCCAAAAATGTGTGTATCAGTTTGGCTGGGCCATGATTCCCAGTATTGTGTAGTTGTCCTCCATTTTGTGATTGTAATTTTATGTTAAAGAGGATTAGGGTGGGATTGTAACACCTGTACTAAAGTCACATCCTTGATCCAATGTAAAGGGAGTTTCCCTGGGATGTGGCTTGCACCACCTTTTATCTTACAAGAGATAAAATGAAAGGGAAGCAAGCAGAGAGTTGGGGACCTCATACCACCAAGAAAGCAGTGTCAGGAGCAGAGCGCGTCTTTTGCACCTGAGGTTCCTGCGCTGAGATGCTCCTAGAACAAGGGAAGACTGATGACAAGGACCTTCCTCCAGAGCCAACAGAGAAAGCCTTTCCCTGGAGCTGATGCCTTGAATTTGTCCTTGTAACCTACTAGACTGGGAGAGAATAAATTTCTTTTTGTTGAAGCTAGCCACTTGTGATATTTCTGTTATAGCAGCACTAGATGACTAAGACAATAAGAAAACAAACAAACCTATTAAAAATGGGCAAAAGGTCTGAACAGAAACCTTACCAAAGAAGATATACAACGCAGATGGCAAATAAGCATCTGAAAAGATGCTCAGTGTCATTTGTCATTCAGAAAGAAAACCTGTTGCCCCTTGAGTCGATTCCAACTCATAGCGACAATATAGGACAGAGTAGAACTGTCCCATAGGGTTTCCAGGGAGCAGCTGGTAGATTCAAACTGCTGACCTTTTGGTTAGCAGCTGAACTGTTAACCACTACGCCACCAGGGCTCCATGTGTCATTAGGGAGATGCAAAGTATGAAAGTATGTTTAGCTTAATATAGATACAAATGGTTACCTATAGAAATAGTTATAGATATATGTATATACATTGGATAGTATACACATAATTTTCTTGCTCTATCATCTGAGAGAGCATAGAAATAATGACACCCTAGTACTCCTAGCACCCAGCCTTACTTCCTAATACCATGCTCAAGTGAAAGGAACCAGGGCTCCTTGGAGAAATGGCTGATTCTAGGATGGGACAGGAAATATATAAGATGAGCTTTGAACATCTTGAAGTGCCAGAAAGTAAAGAAGTACTAAAAACAAACAAAATACCTATATTATGGGGGTATGTCAAAGGGACACAGGAGCCAATTGAAAAAACTCCCAATGGCCAAAGTTTGAACAATTTGAGCAACAAAATAAATAAAGTAGTATTGTATTATAACCCAACATAAACAGTAAATATTCATGCATCCATACTGATATAAATAAGTGATTTAAAAAATAAATAAACAGGAGGAGAAGAGATAAATCTCCCTTGCAGAAGAATTCCGAAAAATATGTATTGATACTTCACCCTCAAGGAGGAGGAGCATAAATCCACACTCCTTAAGTGTAGACTGTGTATAGTGATTCCTTATGAAGAGTACAGTAGAGAAAGGGGGGGAGGAGAGTAACTTTATGGTGGAGAAACCTGACAAACACTACCTCAGTCAGGTGATCAAGGTCAGTGTCAACAGTGATAAATCATGTTGATAGCATGTACCTTTGATATGATGTGACGTAAATGGGAGTCTTTGGGTGGCAGAAACAGTTAAGTGCTTGACTACTAACTGAAAGGTTCGTGGTTCAAACCCACCTGGAGGCACCTCAGAAGAAAGGCCTGGTGATCTGCTTCTAAAAGGTTACAGCCATGAAAACTCTAAGGAGTGCAGTTTTACTCTACAATGCATGGGATTGCTGTGAGTTGGAACCGACTCAACAGCAACTGGTTTTTTAAAATGACACTTTACCTCTGTCATTTTCCTTCCCAAAACTCATAATCCCTGCCAAATCATAAGAAAAACATCAGACAAATTCCAGTAGAAGGGAATCCTACAAAATACTTGTTTATCAAAAACAAGGAAAATCTGAAAAACTATTATAGCCAAGAGGAGCCGAAATGTGATATGGTATCCTGGATGGAATCCTCAAACATAAAAAGGACATTAGGTAAAAACTAAGAAAATCTGAATACAGTACAGAGTTCAGTTAATAATAATTTATTAATATCAGTTCATTTATTATAACAAATATACCATAGATGTCAATAGTATGGGAAACTAGGAGATGGAGTATGTAGGAACCCTCTGTACTGTCTTCTCCATGTTTCTGTAAGTATAAAACTATTCTAAACTATAAAATCTATTAAAAACAAACAAAAAAGACAATGTAGATTTTTTTCAATGAGGAAACTAAGGCTCAGAAAAGTCAAAGTAACTGGCACAAGATCGCCCAGCTACTTAAATGGCGGAGGTAGGATTTGAATCCAGAGTCCTTTCTACTGAGTCTTACTGACTTCTGCCCATCTGTAGATGGAACCTCTTCTGTTCCTTGGTTTCCTGCACATCCATTTGTGTGTGTTTCTTTCTTGTTCTCCCCAGGGGATGGCCTTTACCCTGGAAGAAAGGATACAGCTTGGAATCCACGGCCTGATTCCTCCCTGCTTCCTGAGCCAGGATGTCCAGCTCCTCCGGATCATGAGATCCTACGAGCGGCAGCAGAGTGACCTGGACAAGTCAGTGCCTAAGTCTGCTCTCTCTGTCCAACCCCTGGGCTGAGTCATCCATTACCTGTGGTTATAGAGGGTTTTCTAGATACTCCCAGGCTAGGAACGGCTGAAGGACTCAAGAGATCCCAGGCCCAGGCCTGCCTTCTAAAGGAGTGATGGCTTTCCTGAGGGATAGGGCTTGTTATGATCAAGGCACAGTTATTGTGTCCTGGGAAAACTGGGAAGGGAAACTGAATTTTAATCAGCGATATCTGTAAGGGCCTCTGGGAAGAGGTGACATCTAAGTCAGCCTTTGAAGGGCTGGTAGGACTTCAGTAGTCAGCAATGGGGTTCAAGGAGAGCATTTCACTCAGAGGGAAGACATGGAGGAAAGGCATAGAGACAGGTGTGTTAAGGAAGTGGTACCTGGACCAGGTTCTTGGAATAGGGAAATGTGGTAGGGGAGAGGGGAAATGGACAGGAGACACTTTGGGAAAGACCTGCTATGTCGTGTGTTGAAGGTTTACAGTTAGCAGTTAATAACCCTGACCCTTCTGAATTGTTCCCAGTAGGAATAGTCTCGAGGACACAAATGGGGAATCACAGGGTCAACTTTATCAGCTCTACTAAAGAAGGTGCCTCCCTTTTTTGAAGGTATATGAGTTGAGTGAGCTGGGATTTGAATGTAGACCACAGGTCATCTGGCTCCAGAATCTGTACTGTTAACCTTTCTGCTATACTACAGCTATGACAGGGAGCAGAGCCATAGTAGCAGAGCCTACTATGGTACTAGACTGAGTTCAAATCCTCATTCTGCTACTTGAGGGCAAAAGTTACTTGGCTTCTCTGAGTCATGGTTTCCCCATCTGTACAATGAGGATATCAGTGGTACCTAACTCATAGGGCTGTTGCGAGGAGTAAGTGCGTTAGTATTTGTGATGTGCATAGAACAGAGCCCGACACATAGTAGGCCCTGGGTAAGAGTTTGTTAAAGAAATATGTTGCCTTGTTATGGGCTCCAGTAGAAATGTGCAGAGAAGATAAGGGTCCCCCTATATATCTATAGAGTTTAACGGCTAAGACTTTTGATCCCCAGGGCGTGGCTATCTCCGTAGGGACAGAACTCAGCAGCATACCACAGTGGTCTGCACCCATCTTCCTGTGGTCACCCTATACCATCCATTGCTTCTGAACAGAGGTGGACAAGTCAGCCTCTGTAGCCCTCCCCCACTCCCAAAGCTCTAAGATGCTACTCCAGTTAACTCCAAGGTCATGCTGCAGCCCAGGCCAAAAAGTCTCTCCCTTTTATATACCCGACTCCAACTGGGTCCAGCCATGTCACCCTGAAGAGCAAACTGGAATTTGCACACTGATTCCAACTAACAACATGAGACATGCCCCAACTTTGAACAATCAGAACTTCCCCCTTTTGTTAAATTTACAAAGAAGAAGTAAAGCCCAAAGTGAAACCGTCTTTCCTAAAAATATTAAATACTGAAAGTTAAGGTCCAAAATCCGTCTCTCTCCAGTTCTTTCTAGTTTGATGGACCTTGCTTATGTGCCTGGAAAGACATTCCGCAGCTCAAGGACGGGGAAGTATACCCATTTCTGGGAGCTCTGTATGCTTGCTCTTGATACCGTGTTGACCACTTTGACTTGCTTATTCCCAGGAGTCCCTCATTTCAGCAGGTGCTTGGGGAAATGCTAAGGAGGCTCCCCAGCTTCTTTTGGATAAGGGCAGTAGTGTGCTGGTAAATGTTTAAAACTGGTTCTCCAGTGGGTAGGGGTAAGCCCTGATATATAGCATTTGCTGATTTCCATGTAGTAAATACTGCCACCATAACCAATTTCAAGTTACCAACTTGACATCACTGAATGCAGGGTTAGGAAGAGATTTGCACAAATACTACTGGGTAAGAAAATCCTGGTGACCCTGAGTTGAGATCCTGGCTATTCTGAGTGCATGTCTTCCCTTTATGAAAGCACCTTCCAGAATGTTTTTAGTCCTGGACCCGTGCCTTTGGTGGGGAAGAAGAGGCTGAGGCCCCAAGAGGCCACAGAGCTGGGATTCAAACCCAGGACCCGGGCACCATGCCCAGTGATCATCCCACTAAGCACAGCTCCTTTCCCCTGTGGGAGCATCTCTCTCACCCCACCCCATGCCTAGGGCCTCAGGTGCCTCTGCGCTCTCTCCAACCTGTTCTCCAGGAAGGGTGTGATATTAGCAGTCACTTACACCTGAATGTGAATTTCCACCCCTGGGTTTTCTCTCCCACAGGTTCTTGCATTTTTAGGAGTGTGAATTCCTTAGTTTAGTGATTTCAGCTTCAGGGACTAGAAGAGGGAGAGATTCTTTTGGAACATGCCTCCAGAGATCATTTGGTGCTAAGCCACTTGAGAACTCTGCTTGTGACAGGAATAAGCCCTGTATGGTAGGAAGGCCAGTGCATACATAGCTCATATGCTAAGTATTTTCCATGACTCTACTCCATCCCCAGAATGTTATTGTTCTGTTGGCATCCATTAATATTCATATAATAATAATAACAGTTTTGAACAGTGGTTGAGAGCACAAAGTCCAGAGCCAGCCTGCTTAGGTTCAAATCCCAACTCTGCCATGAGACCTTGGGTGCATTATTTAATTTCTCTGTGCATTAGTCTCCTTGTGTATAAAGCAACAAGAATTACAGCCCTACCTCACGGGTTGTTAGGGACTTTAAATAAGTTAATGAACATAAAATACTTAGAACAGTACCTACACCATGTATAACAATAAGCACCATGTAAGGGTTAACTAATGTTCAGATCTGGGGTGTCTATAACTATCTTTAATCCATTTAACATCCCTGCAAGGTAGTAGTATTCTCCACATTTCAAGATGTTGAAAGAAACCCATGCTTAGAAAAGATGGGTGATTTGCCTGTGAATGTGCCCTTATAGGAGCCCTGGTGGCACAGTGGTTAAGAGCTCGGCTGCGAAACAAAAGGTCAGCAGTTGGAATCCACCAGCCGCTCTTTGGAAACCCTGGGGAGCAGTGCTACGCTGTCCTGTAGGTTTGCAATGAGTCGGAATGAGCTTCACGGCAACCGGTTTTTGGTTTGGTGCCCTTATAAGTGGCTTGAGTGGGAAGGGAGCCCTGGGTCTTTGACTGCCCCACACAGCTGTCTTTCCACACAGTGGCATCGAGGGCCTTCCCTGCTGCCACCTGTTTGTAGCTGTTGTTTCCTGCTGTCTAGTTGGCCCCAACTCATGGCAACACCATGCACAATGGAAGGAAATGCTGCCTGGTCCTGCATCATCCCCATGATCTGTTGTGGACTGGACCACTGTGATCCATAGAGTTTTCATTGGCTGATTTTTGGAAGTAGATCACCAGGCCTTTCTTCATAGTCTGTCTTAGTTTGGAAATTCCCCTGAAACCTGTTCAGCAGCATAGCAACATGCAATGCAATCCTCCACTGACAGATGGGTAGTGGCTGCACATGAGGCCCATGTGGTTAGCTTGATTTTTTTCTCCCCTTTTCAAGGTACATCATTCTCATGACACTCCAAGACCGGAATGAGAAGCTCTTCTACCGAGTGTTGACCTCAGACGTGGAGAAGTTCATGCCAATCGTCTACACGCCCACCGTGGGGCTGGCCTGTCAGCAGTATGGCCTGGCCTTCCGCAGGCCCCGGTGAGCCTTCGTGAGGGTCGGGGGTGAGGGCTTAGTTAGGGGGTTGTTTAATCTCATAGAAGGGAATAAATTCTTTTCACCTTCCTTGCTTATTAGTTGCAACTCTGGGAACTAACTCTTGCTTGGTCAGTGGCCCAATAAGGAGACGTGTGGTTTTAAGCATTTGCTCAGGAAAATTACCCTATAAGCAGAGAAATGAGCTGAGGGTGTGTCTGGGCAGTGGGGGATAGCAGAGCTTCTCCACCACCAAATAATAAATGTCCAGAATGTTTTCAAAGCTGGTCTGAGAGATACTTCAGATTGTTTTTCTTTCATTATCTACCTGTCATCCCCTCCCCCCTGCTCTGGTCCTCCCTATAGTGCAGACAGCTTTCTTGCCAATTCAGCCAATGAATAATGGAGTGTTGGATACCAAAGACTGAATTCTTCTGCTAACTCAAAGAACCAGTATTCCTTCCTTTGGGCTTGACTCAGATGTCACTTAAAACGTCATTTTATTAGGCAAAAAATTGACACTACATTTTCTTTTAGAGCCAAAGAATTTGGGGGCATTTTTCTAAAGAGATCATTTGTTTTTTTCTTGGCAAGGTCATATATATATATATGTTGTCGTTGTGTTCTTGTTAGGTGCCGTCGTGTCAATTTTTGATTCACAGCGACCCCATGTGACAGAGTAGAATTGACCCATAGGGTTTTCTAGGCTGTAATCTTTACAGGAGCAGATCTCCAGGTCTTACAGAGCCACTCTGTGAGTTCAAACCACCAACCTTTCAGTTAGCAGCCAAGTGCTTTAACTGTTGCACCACCAGGGCTTGCTCTCTCTTTCTATAAGGAAAAATGGAAGGATTTTCAAAGGCTTCTCAATGCAATGTGCCTCACAGTTATAAACACATAGTTACATAGTTAGAGCACTAATGATAAAACAGCTCTGTCTGGGTTCATTATATGTAATGTAACATTGTTCTAGTCTGTGCTAGAATATTCTGGAGCCCTGGTGGCACAGTGGTTAGTTGCTCAGGCTGCTAACCAAACAATCGGCAGTTCAAATCCGCTAGCCGCTCCTTGGAAACCCTATGAAGCAGTTCTACTCTGTCCTACAGGGTGGCTGCGAGTTGGAATCAACTCGACAGCAATGAGTTTTTGGTTTTGGTTTATGCTATTGTCCCTGGGTAGTGCAAACGTTAATGCGCTCGGCTGCTAACCAAAAGTTTGGCAGTTTGAGTTCACCCAGAGACACCTCAGAAGAAAGCCCTGGCGATCTACTTCCAAAAAATCAGCCGTTGAAGACCATATGGAGCACAGTTCTACTCTGACACGTATAAGGTTGACATGAGTTGGAATCGACTGAACGACAGTTGGTTTTACACAGACATGTAATTTGCATTTAGGTAGAATTTATAAATCATGTGTTATATGAGGAACATGGACTTATCAAGCTGGAACATCTTTTGTTAATGTGCAAAAACAAGTGGCAGCTTTGAAGCCAGCATTTGGAGTGAGCGTTGCAGCCCACTCACAGGAAACCCCCATGCCCGTTCTCTTCTTTTCCTGGTCCACTGGAAGAATAGCAGAGCACAGAACATCAAATGTTGTCTTGATGGGGTGTCTGGCTGTTGAAGCAGACATGTCCTCATCACTCAGAATAGCCCCCATGCAGTCTGGTTGCAGCAGCCATGCCAGCTTTTGCAATCTCATGGGGCAGAGGGACTAGCACATCCTGCCAGAGCCCGATACCAGTTCTGGGCTTCAACCTACAACTTTCAACAGGAAAGAGACTCCTGTCCTCTTATGCTCATCCCCATGGAGATGTTAGGAGCTGATGATACATTTCTGAAGGATGCAGGGCTCCACTGACCTCCCATTTCCTGCTCAAAAATGGTCCTTCCAGGTCCTTCCTCCTGCACAGTGCAGATCAGCTCATGTCATTTCCCACCTCAAAGGCCTTCACCAGCCCTGAGGGCTTAAAGAATCAAGTCCAACACTTTGACAGAGCATTCTAAGCCCATCATGTTCTAGCCACACTGATCTTATTTTTCCTGCCCAAGTACACTGGGCATTTTCCTGCCTCCCTGCTTTTGGGCAATGCTGTCCCCTCTGCCTCAAATGTCCACTCCTCTTTCTCCACCCATTAAAAATCTGGATATACTTCAAGGTCCACCCCAAGTGTCAGCTTCTCTTTGGAGCCATCCCTGACCTTCCCCCAGGCCAACAGATCACTTCCTCCTCCATGCCCCCACAGTTCATTACACATACTTCTGTTTCATAGGAAGCCAGCAATTGGTCAAGCCAGAATTCTGACTGTGGAAATCAGGCCAGAATTCTGACTGTGGAAAATCAGGGAAGACTTCACCAAAAAGGTGCCATTTGAGCTGGGCCATGAAAGATGAATGCAAAGAATTGGGACAAAAAGCATTTGTCTGCAATGATCCAAGCATACCCCAACTTGCTAGAATGCATGGCCTTCCAGGATTTCATGGTAGGTGAAGCAAGAGAGTAGAGGGGCTGGGTAAGAGAACGGACCAGTGGTTCTGCCCAACAAAGAGGAAGTCCTTAGTCCCCTTCACACCACCCAAGGGGGTTGGATTAGTGGGAACCTATTTCAGACTCAGGTCCAGGCCCTGTCCACCAGGGGGATTCTCCAAGGGATCGGTGATGGACAGGGATTCAGCAACAGAGTTATGAGTCCATGTGGATAGAAACAGGGCCCTGCCAACCACTTGAGGTCAGGGAACCAGGTAACCCTGGGCAAGGGTAGAGTAAGGTGCCGCAGATGCTGGGCACATAATGTGGGAAAAAAAGCAAGTGACAGTCCCAACAGGGAACCTACAAATTAACTAGAATCGGAAGATAAGCATAATAATAACAACAGCTTACTACAAGCCAGGTGATATTCTAAAATCTTTACATATATTAACTTATTTAATTATCACAGCCACTCTAAGAGGAAGATACTATTATTATCCTGTTTGCAGATGAGAAATAACTTGCCTATGGTCACACAGCTATTAACTGGCAAAGCCAGGATTCAAACCCATGCAGTCTGGCCGCAGAGTGTGGGCAGGTAACCACTACCCTATGCTGCCTCTTATAGTTAAGGACCGTGCATATGTGGTGGGCATTCAGGAGTGGGGTGTCCTTGCAGCTCCAGGAATGCTTGATTGCCTGGGGGACTTTAGTAGGGATTGGCAGCTAATGTTTCCAGAGCTGCTTCTGGGAGGATTGATGCTCTGAGTGGAAGGTCCTGGGACCTGCAGCTGGATGGGGCTGAGGCAGGCATGGGCAGACTGAACTGACTTCTTGGATTGGTCCCTCACACACTTGGTATAGACTTCCCCCATATGTTTTTGCACGAACCATTCTTCACATGATTACCCAATTAAGTTATTTGACGTGACATTCTGAGCTGTTGCTCCAGGTTTCCATTTGGCTGCTTTCCAGGTGTTGATTCCACACCTGCCTTGCTCCTGAGGGAGATGAAAGTTTGGGCTCCACCCCAGCCCTCAGCTTCATCTGAGGCCTGGTCTGGAATGGCTTTATGGATTAGCATCTGAAGGGAGGACAGCCCTGAGGCCAAGAGGGAGACAGCCAGCTTCTTCTCAGTTTCTGAAATGATAAACATTCCTGCTAGGTTCCCTGGAACAATGGAGTCCTCTGTAAGAGGTCTGGCCCCCCACCAAAGCTAATCAGGTCCAGCCGATGCTAAAATTGAACCTCTGTAACATGCCTGTAGCTCTCCATCACCTCACAACCTGGAAGGAGGCGATGCCAGAGTATCTCAGGGGCACTGTCCTGAGCAGATGAGACACAGCAGAAGTTTCTGGGCTCGCTGGAGTCTCCCCTCCCCGATCCTACCTTGGCCCTGGCACATCCCATGTCCCATGCCTCCATGGGCCATGGATCCTGGCTACCCTGGCTTGAAGGAATGCTCTTGAAGGTTACTAGTGTATAACACAGAAGAGGTAAAAGCCAGAGGTAGTTGGCCTGGAGGCCAGGACAGAGCCCAACCAAGAGAGGGTGATACAGGGAGGAAGCCAATATGAGACAGTTGGCTGTCCAGCGTCAGTGAATACTTTCCCTCTCCTAGGCTGCCTCCCTATTGATCCAGCCCTGTCTTCACTCTCCTCAGCCTCTTGGGCTCCAAGGGATGCACACACCCTTGCAGACCTAACATTTCCCAGCCTCTGTGTGGGACCCATCTGTATTGGTGATGGAAGGGCTGGGTTGTGGATCATGGAAAGAACAGGGACTTGAAAACCAGGTGGGCTTGGGCTTGAATCTCAGCTCCTGGTGACTTTTTTTTTTTAAAGAACAATAACAAGGCTTTATTTTTAAATTATGTAGAATATGAACAAGGGTTCTGAGATGGCAATTCTGGATGGCAGTGGGTATCCCACCTGCTCCAAGATTGGAGGAAAACAGGCCAAGGGCCTCCCACTTCTGCCACGAAGTCTCTGACTGCTGGTACCTGCCCAGCTGACAGCCTCAAACCAGGGCTTCGAACCAGTTCTTTTCGGTTCGACCCCCTGCTGAGAATTTGCCTTTCCACCTCAGATATATTGAATTCGGAGTCTACATTTTAGCAAGATCCCCAGGTGGAAAGGCAAATTCTCAGCAGTGGTTCAAACTGGAAAGAACTGGTTGGAAGCCCAACATTTTCATCCCTTCTTCTCTCTCACCCCTATCCCCGTAAAAGAGTGTGGCTAATGCTTACACTCATCTGCCTGCATTTCCTGTTGCCAGCTCACCACATCTCGTGAGTCCTTGCCTCTTTTTTCTGCGCTGGAACCCATTTGTCTTCAACCACCACAGCACACACACACCCCACAGAGGGACCCCCTGGAACACCAATCAAACACCTGTGCTTCCTAAATGTCACAGGCCTCTAACAGTTGGAGTCAATTTCTAGCCATACACAGGAATAGTTCCTCCCTTGACCAGTGGGTGCCAACATCTTGACAAAAGCCACACTGAAAAACAAAGACCACCTTATCTCAGCTGAT